AAGAAAGATCCCCACAGTGCATCCCAGCCAATGGGGAAAAATGAGTGAGAAAATACGATTGCAGATGTACATAGAATTCAATATTTACCTGTAGGAAGGAGGGTCGCAGCCTTCCTTTGAGGCAGACGCGGCCCGAGATGCGAAATAACGGCAAGCTCCAGCCTAAGAGAAACGCATTAGAAATTGACAGGTTATTATATTACAGGGATGTCTCAAAGCTATATTCATCAAACTTCATTGTCAACAACGAGTTACACATAAAGGAAATTCATTAAACAGCTGATGCTTCTACAATACAATAGTAGAGAGAGAGAGAGAGAGAGTGAGATTGATACCTTGGAACGGCCAGGGCCGACCAAAGATCGAAGGAACTGGGGAAAGCATGCACTTCTAAATGTCATATTTTGCCCTTCTTCTTATTCTCTAACAGACAGAATTAAGCAGCCAATACAGAGGAAACTAACGACTGAATGAAGGAAAACATGTAGACCAGGAAATCTAAATGTTTTTTGGACAAGGAATTAAGTTGTAATAGCAGCAGAGAACTGCCAAGTATATATAGGAAGTCTAAATGTAATTTTAATACACAAGCAATGGATTTGAACCATTCGCTTCTCGGTACGTAAAATTGGGACAGTGCTTGACTTAGACTAAGTTTAGTCGTTAGCTGAGACAGCACAAGTTACATCAAACAAGTATTACGGCAGATGAAAGGTTATGGATGTTTTGAGGAAATGAATGGTCTTGGTAAAGATGAGTTTGAAGACATTAATGCCAAGCAATTAATATAAATTAATTCCAAGCAATTAATATTTGTATGAGCTTAAATTCTAAGTTTTTTTTTTGTTAACATCTTCTTTGAATTCTATTTTGGAGATGCAGTTTTTTTCAGTTAAAAGTACAATAATATATATATTATTTTCTGAAAATTAAATCATAATAGCAGTGACATGTGCCCATATATTCTATCATGTGAATCAACACATGGGCATTTTAATTCCAAAAACATAAGATTGCAAGCTCAATTGAATCGAGCAATCATACACTCAAGTTCTTCTCGTTTGAAAAAGTATAAAAATCGGATAAAACTCGTTCTCTTGCTCAAGTTCTTCGATGATAATAAGTCTCGATGTTTAAGATTAATTATTTTCCATGGATCTCTGGTTATTTTTATAGTAAAATTAAAATTCGAAACACATAAGGAGTTCATTTTCATCGAAATAAAACACAAAAAAAAAAAAACAAAAACCTTACCTAAATTCTAGTAATAGATATTAGGTTCAAACTTATTTATTAAACTTAATAAATAAGATAGTTTTAGGTTTTGAGTTAAGTTTTGAATAGCTATAATCAGTTATAATTATGAGAAAAATCAATAAGCATGAAGCTTTACTTTGAGAGAGGGAGAAATCAATGGCAGAAGTTTTGTTGCCATCAAGTTGGGTTGTTACCTCACATGGAAGCCTACTTTGAGAGAGGGAAATAAGGTCAATAACATCCGGTGGGAAAGCTATTGCTTTGGAGATGCTATCTAGGTCAGGTTATCAAATCAAACACCTATCTCTAGATGAGTTAGGCAGTGATTTTGTGCATCTATGGATGGTTGTCTAGAAAAAAAAATCACAAAATTTGAAAATTAACATGAAATGAATAGTAACATCATCTCTTTTTCTTTGTATTTAAGAGTTAAAAAAACATGCTCATTGCCGAGTATCATTCGAATATATCTATACTTTACAAGTTTGTACCATTTATACACACGATTATTATTTTTGGGTTTTTCATTTTTGAATTTCAACCATTTGATTAACACATTCTATGCAATGGAAATAACTTCGGTACGTAGTTGTTGCTACAATCACTAATCAATTATAAGTTGAACTAATTGATATCTTCTTCTTTTTAATTTGATGAAAACCTAATTAACTTGAATTGTTATAGTTGTTGCTAATTAACCTCGTGAAAAATCCTGACAATTTAATAGCATCTTCGTGAACATAAATCCACCAAGTGATAAGTTCGATTTTACATAAGTTGACAAAGTGATAAGTTGGCAGAAACAGTTGGTGACTGCAAATAACTGCTCTTAACCATGGCCTAAATCATAAAGCCATGCTACAACCGCCTTATAATTAGCTATAACCTTGTATAAAAAAAACTTTATGAGATTTCATATACGGTAGCATTACAAGTCACAAAAAATGGTTAAGTTTTTCACGTAAAATCATCAAGAGACAACTGTCATGGGATCTAACTTTGAATAGATCATATAAATATTAGATCATAATTGATAAAACTTGTCAAGTTAAATTTTAATCTATAACCATATTGAAAGTAAGCTCCAAAAGGACATCAAAATTGTGACATGTTTAGCTTTTGGTTTTGCTCCACATGGAGCTTTGATCACCTAACACTAGAGAAGCCTCCTTATAGGATCCAAAATTAAAAATTTTTTACATATTATATAAAAATTTTTAAATTTTTTATAAATTTTTTAATAGCCTCCAAAATAATTTTTTATTTAATAATTAATATAAATAAAAAATAATAAAATAATTTTATATGTTTGACTCAATTTTAAAGTTTTTTTAATTTTTTTCTTTCAATTTATATGATTATAATTTTTATTTATTTATTTATTTTTATTTTATTTACTCATATGTTCTAAATCTTTATAGATTTTCTTTCATAAATTTCTGTGAACCATAGATCATATTCTTTTTCTTTCTTTTTTATTATATCATATGTAAATTCTATCTTCTACTTGTCATATTTTTTTCTATTATGTAGATTTTATTTTTTATGATTTTAATCTTTAAAAATAAATAAATTATTATGTAATTCTCAAATATAAGTTATAGTGTTACACTATTGTTCAGAATTTTATCAATATATATTTTTTATTCAGAATAACTAATTCATTTTAGCAAGTATGTTGCAAACTTTAAGTAACAAAAATATACATATAAATTGATAGAATGAAATAATTGTATTTCTTTCAATATAATTTTATTTATTTTACATATTTTTATTGGCTTTCAAAAAAAAATTTATTTAATAATTAGTTTTATTGTTCAAACTATTTGATAAAATTAGAGTAATTATAATTAGCGTATTACTAGTTAAATCCAATAAATAAATTCTAAATTCATATGTTAAACCTATCAAATTTTAAAAAAAATAAAAGTGAGTTTACTAATCCAAACCCATTAAATTTTAATATAAATCTAAGACTATCATAATATATTATATTTTAACAGTCAAACCTTATAGCTTATCATAATATATTATATCTCAATAGTTTAATCCAATAACCTAATATGTTAATTAGTAATTTACGAGACAAATAGAAAATAAAAGGAGAGCTAGAACATAGAAAGTAAAAAAGTAATTTATTTGAGTTTGAAAAATTATTTTGTCTTCCACTCTTGTTCGGAAGAGGAATAGAGATTTCTTTTGTAGTTTCATTCAATCATATATATAAATGATATTATCATTACTGTTAATGTGCATATTTTTGTATATCTAATATCTTTTAAATTTTATTTAATTTTTTAGATTAATAATAATTGAATTATATATAAAATAACTATTTAACATTTTTTTCTATTTGGTCCATTTGAAAATGCTCTAACTCTGCCCTAACACATAACTATTTTTTGGAGTTTGCCTTGAGATTAGATGGGGCTCAGTGATGTCTATATCAAAAGTCCCAAGAAGACTTCAAAATTATGAGACATTGAGCCTTTATGAGACATTGAGCCTTTGGTTTTGCTCCACGTGGAGCTTCGATCATTTGATGCATAGCTATTTTTTGAGGTATTGTCTTTAGATTTGATAGGGCATAATTATTTTTAAAAATAACCCTAAGGGCTCCTACCTTGATATTTGACAACGTTTATAATTTGACAGGTAATTAGGTTTTTGAGGCGTGAACTTGAGATTTAATGAAATTAGTTTATAGTTGAGTTCTTGGGATGTGAACTTGAGGTCTGATAGAGTTGGGTTTGAGCTTGATATTTGATATGATTTTTTACTTGACATGATTGAGTTTTTGAGATGTGGACTTGAGATCTCATGGCATAAAGTTTAAATTAGATTTTTTTTTGCTCTTATGGTTGATGTTTTAGATTTTTTTTAACTTTTTATATATAGGTACTTATAAAAAATAATTTTTCTTGATTTCATTATTAATTACTCTCATATTATTTTTTAACGTTTAATATAATTAATGTAGAGTGATGCAAATTGATTAATTAAAAATAAGATTTTATTTAAAGTTTTATTTTATCGTGAAGTTATTTATAAGTATGTTTTTATATAAAAGTACCACTATAAATACCACCATGATAATTATAATAACAAAAATTATATATTTTGTACAAATCAATGAATACTAATAATTAAATATAACAATATAATCATTATTATATGCTTATTTTATAAAATATTTTTAATTCAATTAAAATTAAAATTATTATTCCAAGCATCGCACATGTAGCAAACTAGCATATATAAAATGAAGTCTGCCTTGGTTTTACATCACGTGGAGCCTCACTATTTCACCACGTGAATACTTTAATTGTGTTTAGTGTTTTGGTATTTGTTATTTTATTATTGAATGAGGATATTTTCGTCTATATGCCCTATCTATACTTTAGTGCTTCTATATTTCTCTTATATCTTCTTTAGTACGTAAATATGATTGTTAAGTCCTATATAACAATCTATGTCTACTGCTACTAATAACTTTGAGTTTAAGCTTTTAAAAACCACGTAATTTAATTTCAAAAAGTTATTGAACTTGGACCGTTACACAAATCGAATTAGTTTTATATAAACAATACATTAATTATAAACCAAATTTCTCACAAAGCAAAAACGAATTCTTACAACCTATAAGAATTTTCAATCAATTAATCATCCACTTGTGGAGAAAACAAACAAAAAAAACACAAAATAATTTCACCAATTCAAATTTTTGATGTCTTCATCAAGGTCACACATCACATACACAAGATCAAGATCTCATTAGAGTAATGTGAAAACTTGCATCAGACTAGCGTAGGCTCTAATATCATTTGTAATGACTCAAGTTTAATCACTAATCCAATAGTTTTTTGAACTTAAACTACGTTATCCTTAAAAACTTAAACTCAAGTTGCTAGTAGTAGTAAACTTGAATTGTTATATAGATCTTAACAATCACATTCATATCAGATGTATGATGTTGGGTATCACAATTTGATTGTAATGTCGAATTGATTTTTTTAAAAAAAAAAATTCAAGTTTTATTCGTACGTTTGAGTTGGTACAATTTTTTTGCGGTTTTTCTTCTCTACTCCGAGGTTTTTGTCCCAATGATTAATGTATTTGCAAATTTTATTTATTAATTATTACTTTTACTATGTTGGGTTTTTCAATTATTTATGATCGGACTGTTGTAGATGAATTTGTTCTTGCTGTCAAGAGGATGTATTCTTCCTGCTTTCTATGAAGTTAGAACAATGATTTATTTGGTATGATTATAACTGTACTTCTTTATCCCTCTATTGTTGCTATTAAAGGAAAAATAATGTTCAAAATGTTAAAACCAAAAATAGAAAGAATGTATGATTGTAAAACTTTCTTCAATTCCTTCTTTGATGCCGTTCCCATGTAAGCGAAATTCCATGGTATTTCGTATTTCGTGTGAGTGTAAAAATGCTTTTGGCAATTGCAAAACTAGAAGCCTTCTTTTTTGTATGAAAATGCTGTCACCACAATGGCTAATGGCTGCATGCACTCTGCGTTTTTTTTTTTTTGTGAAAAAATGGTCAGTACGGCTGAATCACTCACCGACATCTCTATACGATAATGCATTTGCGTAGAGTGAATGCTATGAGTACCGTTAGCCTCACTTCCTGGCAATTAACTCATTCTTTCGCCGAACTGAAGTGCATTAGAAAATTACTTTGAGCTTCTTTTTCAAGGGATTGATAAGGAGTAAGGCTGGCCTGAGTTAAAGAAACGGCCCTTGGATTTAAGCCAAGATCCAACTAGCAGACGCGGAGGGCAAAGGGGGCTAGTGGGGCCCCTGCCCTCTAACAATTTTAAAAATTTTATAACTTGTATTTATTTTTTTGAAGTTTTATAATTTTGTTTTTGACAAACATTTAAAACAAAATTTAACATATTTTTATTTTTAAAAAAAAATTATAATTTTATTTTTATAATGAGTTTTTATTTGACGAAATGGTTCATAACAATCAATCATCAATTAATTGAATAAAATAAAAAATTTATTGTAATAGAATTATTTTTAAATGTCATTTCTTGAAAACTCCACAATCATCATCTATTGTTTTTTTAATGAATATTGTAAAAATAAAAAAATATTTTTTCACATTTTTTAGTTATTAATTTTTTGGTTTTATGTCATGATAATTGATAAATTAAATTTATTTATTTATTTATTTATTTATTTTTAATATTTTAAATTTTAATTTTGTAGTTAATAATTTTTATTTGGTGATTTTAATATAAAATTTACGTTTTTAATATTTTTTGTTGACAACAACAAAACAAAGATTTTGGTTAAGCAGTACTTAAAGTTAACTATTACTTTTTTATTTAAATATTACGTTTTTTTTCTAAAAATTATTTTTTTTTAATTTTTATGAACAAGTAAGTTTTTTATTTGAGATTATTTATTAAATTATATATTGATACTGTATTTAATTTTTATAATTAATTTTAAAAAATTACTTCTTTCATTAAATTATTTATTAATAGTTTTTAATATTTTTTAAGAGATAACTTCTCATTGAAATTTTTGTTATTATATTTATTACTGTTTCTTAATTAGTTTATCTAAAAATTAGAATTATGGTCATTATTAAATTATTTATAATTATATAATTAATTTTTTAAAATAAATTATTAAGATTGATTTTATTGAATAATTTTTAAAATTTATTTATATTTTTAGCAAACATTCAACTTTTAATATAATTATTTTATAAATATTGTCTTTGACTTTTCACCTCTTAAACTCAAAACCTTAACTCCACTATTGCCAACTAATATACTCAAGTTAATTAAAAGAAAAATAAAAGGTTCTTTGAGCATCATTTGTTCTTTCAACAAATTCCAAAACTCGAGGAAAGAAGTGAATGTATCTACTGCAACACTGTAGTCCAACCCATTGTGTCGTCTGTAAGACCCATCTGTATATTTGTAAGTGCTGAGTAGAGCTGCTGAGATACTGCAAATCCACTGTCTCCGTAATCCACCCTGCAAAAGAAAGCCAAAAATTGACAGGACTATGTCAGATTATTTAACTCAGTGAGGAGTAAAAACAGTATGCAAGTAGATTCTAGACCCTGGGACAGGTTATTACGATACCTTCAAGGAAAAAAAAGGGAATATGCAGGTTATCTAAGGGATGAAACCACCACTACACCTGAATACTTTATTGTCTTAAAGATGCTTAAGCCTCCTTGAGATTTTTCTAAATTTAACTTTTCATGGGATATTGTCTTCAACTGAACTAAGCATTCGAGCATTTGATTTATTAGTTGGAATGTGATAGGCAGAGTTCGAATCTCCTTTCTTAATTATTAAAATAAAAAAACTTCAACTGAACCAAGTCGTAAAAAGATAGCTTTGTCTATCATCATTATTCTAAATATTTTGGTCTCTTCTAGCAAAAATAAAAATAAAAATTCTTGATTTACTTTCTTAAGAAAATACTAACAATTTAAATCCAGGGGATAAAAATAAGAATTGACCTTTTATCCATGTAAGTGACGCTGCCAACAGGCAATACACAAAAAGCATTTCCACTACAAAAAACTTCATCGGCATCAGGCAATTCCTCGACCGACACAAGTCGCTCCTCAACCTGTTTATATATGCAAAGGGCTTAGGGACATAAATGGTGCGGATAAACAAAAGAATGTCCACGTATCAACAATACACAACCCATTTAGAATATGAATTGAAGAATGAGCAAATGATTGATTTATTTCAAATAGAAAAAAACACTTTTGATGAAGTATTGAGCATTCTTAGCACATCAATACAAAGATAATCAAACTTGTCCAGTAACAATTAAATTAGAGAGAATGCCACTTCAAACTGCATACCTGGAACCCTTGGCTGTGAGCAATATCAATAATACTTTTTCTTGTAATCCCAGGAACAATTGTCCCCCCTAGTATTGGGGTACAGATTGTATCATCCTGCAATTTATACAGAACAAAACATAATAAAATCAATCTAATGCAACAGGTCTTGGAGAGAGATTCTATTTTTGGTACAGATTAGGAGAAATTTTGAATTGCTTGATAATAGAACATGATTGGGAGATGGTAGGCGATAAATAAGACTCCATCTGCAGAAATCACTTGCACTTCCCCCCTACTTCTGACAAGATGTTTCACCATCTTTAAGTTGTACAACCTAAATATTTGGCAATTTATAACAATTATGAATGAAATTTGTTAAAATAGCCAAGCATTGGCCAACAAAGTTTTCTACAAACACGTAAGTTCTTCCTACATTCCTCTTTCAAGGTACGATGCTTGTTACATCAGATAACAAATGGGCAACATCAAAACAATGCTAAGAAACAGATGCTTTAAAATACCCAAACACATGTCATAACACAGTTATATAAAACTAAAACCTGACAGAAATGAAGACTGGAGATTATTTTCTATATCTCAAATTGGAAGTATTTCTCAGACAATTATGGCACCCATATTCAATTTAGTGAAAAGGCAAATGCATTTAATAACATAATTTAAAAAATTTTAAAAAGACAGACTGAAAATTTCTAGCCAGATATATTAATGTCACTTCTCCACAACATCTTAAGCCTTTATTATGCAACTAATAGAATCAATTTTTCATTTCTAAACTTTTTAGTCAGAAGATTGCAAGGATATTTCATGGTCTAAATGATATGCTCATATTTTGGTTACCAGGAATCCATTAAGATTCAAAAACTAAGCGATACCTTCACAACAAAAATGTTAGCGGTAGAAATCTCTTCAAGATATTTATTGTGAACAGAGTCAAGATACAAAACATCAGAGAAACCATTCACTTTAGCTGCGGCCTGTGCCTTAATAATCTGTGAAAAAAAGATACAACAGCTTCAATGTTTCTGAATATACTAAAAGCATATATTACCAGTGAAAGGCATGTTGTAGCAATGAAATATTTGAACAATGGGCCTATCAATGACCATTCATAAAGCAATGATGGAGGACAGAGCAATCGTCTGGAATTAACAATTCTTGCACAAGAGCAATCCTTCCTTAAAGAAAACTCAAAACTAAATGAATCTTCACCATAGATGACAATTATAATTGGAATTTCCAACAACTTTTTAATTAGTATATTTTACATTAAAGTGTTTAACTTAAAAATATTTGACTTAATGTAGAGTTTCAATCACTCCTAATGTACAATATTTCAATGAATTTGCATTTAAAGTCTGTAGGGAAATAACAAATATTAAACTAAGATTTACAGGACAAAAAGTGCGAGAAAAAGATAGCATATGGCCTATGGTTTTAGAAATGATATGATACTAGAGAAAACAGAAGAATTACTATAGCCTCATCAACTATATAAAGAAAATGCCTTGATAAGTTGCATAACAGAAAATGCAAATAAGCCATGGTGAACAAATTTAAAAAGGAAAAAAAAGAAAAGGAAGAGTGCATTCTAATCAATCAACAAGTCTCATATATGAACTGGAAATGGAATACCCCAGCATAGTTTCCTATAGCTTTAATGCTTCCAACTCCTCCAGGGGCTGCACGACGTGTTTCATTTTCAACCACCAGATTAATTGGTTTCAAACCACGCTGTCATCACGATAATAATATAAGGTTAATGGTAGAAAACTGGAATACCTGCTACTCAAGTAACTCGATATCTATTTAGAAGGAAAACACGATGATAAAAGTTTTGAGAAAAGCAAATGTGAAAAACAAAAGCTCAAACTGGAAGCAGAAACTTTTACAAGTGCGAGACGAATTATACGTGGACATGACAAGGAGTTGCTCAGTATTGGGCTGTAGACAGGAACTTTCATCCTAGCAAGCTACTTGAATTTGATGTCATGCTTGCAAAATAAGGATATCAAGCAACAACATACCTCAAAATAATTTCCAACTGGAGTAACATAGATCAAAAAGGTGCATTCTGGAGCTGTTGTGAGACTAAGAACAGGTCCATTCCCCAGAAGTAGAGGTCGAATGTGTAAAAAGCCTTTATCTGGAGGAGGGACCTGCAGTATGGCATTCAGCCTATGACAGAGGTGATAAAATGCAAACAGCAATCGGACACTTTTTTTAAATAACCAACATGGTGGCCAATTACCCAGCGCTTATTTGCCAATACAGTACTTTTTACAGCTTCCACAAACTGCTCAATAGTTGGTGCAGGCATGCACATTCTTTCCGCACCTACCCTCAGCCGCAATCCATTTTCCTCAGGACGAAAAAGTATAATAGATCCATTTTGTTTCTTGTATGCCTTCAGACCCTCAATAATCCCCTAGAAGAAAGAAGAATCATTAATACAATAGTTACAGAGCAGCACTGCCTTAACATAAAAGAGCATCTCTTGGATTAAATAGCTCCTCATATAAGATAGAAAAAGATTCCACTCAGGTAGATGCGTTGAGTATAGCAAGATTAAATTATACACTTATTCCTCAACAACCTGCAAATTCACCCCATGCATGAGTGAATATGAGACAAAAGAAAGAAGAAGAGACATGGGGCGGGACATGGCCTTGGCTTGTAATGATTATTTATAAAACATACGCCATTTGTATGTGATGAGTACACTAGTTGAGGATAAGAATATTAAGGGGCAAAACAGTAAATTCATGGTTGATGAAATGATTTACTTATGAATCAAAATATTTTCATCCCAAAACATCTTTGATGAATTTGCCAAGAAGCATAAATGAAAATTGAATTTGAAAGTTCTCAACATCTTATTAGCAGAGACGCAAGGAAAAATGGAAGAGTATAAGAAAAACCTAGAGCAGCTATGTGTTCTTTTTTCAGCTAATGAAAGAGCAAGGATTCTTTTTAAACCCCAAAACTATCCGAGATGGCTTACAACATAAAAATCCAGGGAAAAGAAACCAAGTACGTGAACCATTGAGTTTCATGTAACATACCTGCCCATAGTTCAAGACAGCGGCTGATGGAATTATTTCAATGTTCCCATAACGTCTTAAGCCACCATCTGCAAAGCTTCCATCTTCAGAACTTTTCATAACATACATGTAGTCCGTTTGCACGGGATTGAATCCAAGGCTATCCCATCTTCTATCAGCTGATTCAGATGTTTCACTATTTTTTTTTTAAAGAAAATTCATCAAAAATCGTTTCAGAGATGAATTACAATTTACTGAACACAACAAGAAGTGTGCAAATAACTGTGAAGTAGTTCAAGAGTAGACATTACTGAAAGTTGGGGCCAACACAAGTATCAGTTTTCATCAATGAAACTGTCCATAAGACAACAAACTGATTCAACATTTCCATATGCTTTAGTGCATCGAGCTAGCACTATAAGGCTACTCGTTTTTTTTGTATCTGATTAATTCTCTAACAAGTGAAAGATCCCAGATTGAAGAATTATGACAACCAAGCAAAACGTTCTATATATATTTCACAACTTCCTTGTGATCCTATCTGGACCTCCGCCAAAAACAAAATGAACCTTAAATTTACATTTTATAATTTACCAATCAGAGAATTCCGGTAATACCCCTCCTGTTTCCTCAAAAACAAGACTTTATTTTTTACCTATGAGAGTCCGATGAAGTGGCTCGGCGCCATGAAGCAGAGGCAGACAAGCAGCCATGTGAAGATGTACCAGCCAAACGAAGCTGATGATGGACCTGCAAAGAACCAAGCTTTTTTGTTTAAGTAAAAGGGTCAACTGAGTTGGGTTTGCTATTATTATCGTTACAGGAAAAAGAAGAAGAAATGGGTACCTTGAGAGAAGAGGAGAATTGGCCAATAGTAGCGTTGGTAAAGCTTAGCGGAACAAGGAGCATCTCTGTTTCTGGGTTTTTCCCTTTTCCCTTAGGAGGATGCCAAGAACCTTTTTCAAGTTATGCTCGTCCAATAATCGAGTGGGAGAGGTGCCAATGTTTTCGTTTTTGGGCAGACAGATTCTCCCTCCACTTGGGACATTTTAGACTTGACACGACGAAACAAGTTTTCGTATGGCTTCATAAGGGTAATTTTCTTCTTTGCCTTAAAAGGTGGGTTCTTTTTGTTCAAGTGATTGAATATCGTAGAAATACATTTTGCACTAAAATGTAACTTCCTCGCCGGAAGGCAAAAGTTGGACTAATCACCACTTAGCTCCATAATCGCGGTGGGGAGAGGGGAAGGGCAGGGGTGAGTGGCGAGTCATGGGAGGGAGCAGAGACCAACGGAAGCCACCATAGCCCAACAAATTAAAAAAATTTTGGATTAATTCCGTACAATGAGTTGAATATTTGATTGACTAAAACAAACTTATAATATAGTTGGAATAACAATTAGGCTAACATTTTTGAATGCTCGAACATGTTCTAAACTTGATTATGAGATAATCAAACACTTTAATCCGATTTAATCGACTATTTCATTTGTTATTTTTTGTTGTTCATAGTCTTTTTGTAAGCGTGATTGTATTGGGCTAAATTGGTAATATTATAGGCAGCGGGCTGAACCCACAGAAAGTCATTGGGTTGAAAAATTGGGCTGGCTTCATGTGAATACCAGGTATCAAGCACACCCATCTACATCATTTCTTCTACAAAAATTAGATGCACTTTCCTTGCCAGAAATTATTCAGAATTCAGAACATCCATCAGAATTAGAACATAGTAAGTTGAACTAAAGTATAGGAAACGCAAGATTATTTCTTTTCAGGAAGATTTCCAAAGTCCCAGCAACACAAAAGAAAAAAGATTACTTGTAAAACAAAAGTAGTGATGAGCAATTGTAAACAACACCGATCCGATGGCAATCGAAATAGAACAAGAGCAAAATAAAGATAACAGCAATTCGACGGGTCAAATCGAACTGAGAACACAGAAGAAAGGTAAACGATTACTACAAAATAGTACAAGAAGTTGAGGGTTGAGGATCTCCGGCAGAAGGGTTGACTCCAGGCCATTCCCGACACTGGCAGCGTTGGTCTTCAGGGACCCGCTTATAAACTGACGGAACATGTCTTCCGCAGCCTCCCCACGTTGTCTTCCCGCATGCTGAGCACTTCACTTCGTAACACATCTTGCTTTCTCCCTCCTCCCCTTCTGCTGGTTAGCTGTTCTCTAAGTCCGTTTTATGTTGACGCCGTTATAAAGGGAACTTTTTTCTCGTTGTGGAAAAATCCGTCTATGCAATCAATGCCTCCAACAACATTGGAATTATCGCTTGATTTGTGGTCAAATATGGCTGCCCAGAGAGACACAGAGAGGCTTGGGCCTAGCCCGTCAGCAATTAGATCCATGTAAACCCTGTCATACTTGGGCTTCCTTTAGTCTTTACTTGGATATAACGGCCTCTGTTTGCAGGCCTTAAAAGAACATGAAAATTTTATGCAACATATGGAAAAAGACAATTGCAACTTTCATTGCTTCCTACCCCTTTCGTTTTCTTACCTTTCTTTCCTTCTCTTTTGCAAATAGAAAATGAAATGGAGGGAAACACAGTATGATGGGAAGAAAAGAGAGGTGGCAGCAAGCTTCTCAAGCACCGACAAAACCGCTCCTATAATATTGTAAATCTACTAATTAGAAAGATGGGCCAAATACAATCACAAACGGTCCCCCCATTGATCTTCCATTTTAGGGTAGCCATACGCACAAACACAGCATGTCGACACTCTAATGCGCGAGAGCACGTAGCTTCAAACAAACCCGTATAGAGTATAACGTTCTTTCTCCTATATGTGATTGGGACCACCATCCAATAATATTACTACTTCCTTGAACCTTTGCCTTTGCCTTTGCCTTGCCCTTGCTTGCTTAAATTTATCTCAATTTCTTTATCTTTGGATCAGCAAATAAAGGGTACATTAAGGAACTTAAGTTTGAATCCTCCTCTTTATTCATATATAGCTCCAACTTGTAGGCGAAAGGGAACTTTATATTCTCGTTCTTGTTATAAAAATCACCGAAAATAATTGCTCAAATGGCTCCCTCTAGACTTTGTAGACTAGCTCCGTGAGAAATTGAGTGAGGGTGGGGGCTGACATTGGTGTTTTTCTCGAGCAGAGGCTCACTAGCTTAGGTCATCACCTTCCATTTGAAGCGCAAGCATGATGGTTGTGATTGAAAGTCTAGTGCCACGAAAATGGCAAGGGAGTAGAGAAGGACAAAGTGGGGCAGGCCGACCGTTGCTTTAGGAAAGTCGGTGCCTTGATGATGCCTTCCATCTAATGGAAGTCCATGAGGATTATGTTGCACTGACTGGACTTCTCTTGTCCCGTTACCAAACTTAATTCTTCGGTCTATATCTCTTATCAAATTCTTACATAAATATGTCATGTTTATTCATAAAAAATATATATATTAGTAAACTTGTGATAATAATATTTTAAATTATAATTATGTGATAATCAAAAACTTAAATTCAAATTGCTAATTAACATTAAGAGCTTAACACCAAAAACCCAAATATTATTCAATAAGTTCTTCATCAATTACACTAATTTTTTTGTAATGTTATTCACAACATCATGTCACTATTTAGAAAGTGATTAAGTTAAACGTTTAAGATTCCACCGAATAATTAATAAATATTTCTCACATGGACGCAAATATAAAGCATTTCATTACCTTTTTGAAACATTTTACATCTTAACATTAATGTCTCATCAGCTTTTGGAAACAACATTAATTCCTTTGTATTGATCATAAAGATTGTTGTTTAAATTAGAGTAGCAACATTATTGTTATTATTATAAACCTGTTTGATGCGTCATGCATTCAATGATCAATGTTGATCTCTTTTTAAAATAAGTGAAAAAGTTTAGATGCCAATAATAATAGTTAAAGCGTCGCCTAGTGATAACGTAGATTACAATCAATAAAACAAGTTGTAGTAGAAATGCAGACAAAAGTGATGGCTTCCTTGACATGGACGGTTGGTATGGGGAAGAAAAGAGGTGTGTAGAAAAGCCAAACAAAGAGCACAATTCCTCACTACCACTGGTCGGCTAAGCCTTAAAGGCCGGAACCCATCTGAAACCTTATCTCCAGCACCACCACCACCACCCCCTCTCTCCCCTTCTATCATTGCCTACGTCCTTTTGCTCCCACAATTATCATCCTTTTAGAATCGAATGCTCCATCATGCCAAATCATTTGTGGGGCCCATTCTGTCTATTGCTGCCGCCAATCCTACGTGTCGTTCCTCTGTACTCGACACGTGGATTCCCCCAAATGATATAAAAAAATGAAGAAGAAAGAAAGAATCGGCCCTGTTTGTGTTATTGTGTCAAGTGTGAACCAAGCACAAGTGCTACTGAGCATCCTTTGTTTTTAAGCTATCCTTTCCCCCCCACCCCCCCTCCCCTTTTCTTTGTCGTCTTGGTTAATGTTTGATTAAAAAGTATTAGTTTATTGATTAATTATTCCTAATTAATCATGCCTTGAACTGAGTTTAAAATAAATATATATACCATAATATATTCCCCACTGTTTCAAAGTCAATGTCTATCTATCCGCACTAGGACAGAAACTTGGCTATGAAGGCTTGAATAATCCTATCCGATGCCTGCCAAAATGCTTTCCATGACTCAATGATCAGAAAATATATATATAAATATATACTTTTTACGTCCATGCCTCTAGAATTGTTAAAACTGGAAAAGGGTTAACAATCTCCCTATTCAATTATATATTCCACCGTTAGATGTCTAATCAATGAAAAATTTCATCAAAATGACCCACCAAAACTTATGCATTGAACTTATAGATTCGTCGGTGGATTAGCAGTACCGTATCGTTATCCTTTCCCATCACCCATATATTACCTAATTTATATATATGTTTATATTTAAAAAATATGCTTTCCCAATTTCATGGGTTAATTTTTTTTCACGTGTGAACAGCATGTATCTGTGTTTGATTTAAAGATTAAAACAACTTACCTGTTTTGAATTTTAATGTACAAATTACAGAAAAAAAAACTTTATTTTTTAGCATTTTTAACCAATTTATTTCGTACTTATCTCAATATTTATATTAATGGCGTTGGGGGAGAACCTATAACTTAGTGGTTAACCTCCCTTTATACCTAACAACTATGTGAAAGATTCAAGACCAAATGGAATCAGAGTTCGATTTTGTAATATATTCCCTTAATAATCCTTTGCATCTTCTATCTCTCCAAATTGCTCCCTGTTGGGTTATCATATGAAAAGGATTCTTGGAAAGAAAATCTCACAGTTACATCTCCAATAAGAAAGGGTATAAGATGCGTGAACCACAAATTTTAATTGAAAATGGAAAATAAATAGAATAAATATGTATCTATATATATCAGAAAATTAGATAATGAGTTTCGAGATTCAACATCAAGTTTCATCGGCAAGTTTATGCTAGGGAATTGTATTCGGGTTATTATTATAGCACCTTTGAAATTTATAGCATGTAATCTTCAATATATCCATCCATGCCAAATTTACACTGATTTGACGTAGAGAGAGGCCCCAGATTACATTCAGACCCATATGGTGCACATCTCTTTCTTTCTCTTCCTCCAAATTGTGTGAAGTGGTAGGTCATATATACTTTTTCTTCAAATAATTTTCTTAAGCAACTAATAACGGTGCAGAATTTATTTCCCCCAACATATTGAAAACTTTGTAAACGATAAACCCCGAGAAAGTTGCATTTTTGAAAGCATGGACAGCACAGCACTAGGAGGAAAACAGTGAAAATGTTGGAGAAAACATGCTTCCCAGTAATCGATTTTCCCTGTCCTGAACTTGTCTCATGAGTACACCCACAATTTTTAATGCCATCTTATTAGTTCAGTCACCATTCTTTTCCCCTCTGGCAAAGCTTAGTTTGACCACTTGACAATAATCATGAAACTCTCTATCGGCTTTACTAGGTCAAGAGGAATCGAGTGAGGAAATCGTGCTGTGGCACATCAGAAGATGTGTGAGCCTGTTTCATTTTCTAATTATCAACCCAAGTTGTCTGCTGTAGTTGCCTGCTTATGTCCTCTGGTAGGAATCAAGTTAAGGTGATGTCCTTCTCCTGCAAGAATATTTGGGCAAGTTTTACGAGAGTCTATAACTTGTTAGAGAAGCAAGGCATGTGGTGGGGGACATTTGGACGGTCTGCGACTAGGTATACATACAAACACACCGCTGATGATGGGTCTCCATCTAATCCTATCATGAAATGTTTGTCTCCTCTGATTTACCACACTAAAATCAACATCATTGCCTGTAATTGACAATAATTGTTTGCTATCTGACCACCTTTAATTAATCACCACCCTTTGGGTGTTAACATTGAAAAGAAAATGATTGATATATATATATATATATATATATATATATATATAGATCCAAGTGACAGAGTTGTTTCTCTAAATGTTGATTTATACCTCCAGTTATAATTCTAAAATAAATTGCTTTATAATCAATGTGTCTAAAGGTGTGGATTTAAAGTGAAAATCAGGAGAAAAGTCCAAAAAGAAAAAAAGGCAAAAGGGTCGAATTATTCTCTTTTATGTGCTCTTGTGTACACCCCCCACTTTCCATGTGATTCCACGTATGCAATCCATTCTATGCACTTTATACACTGTATTCTTGGCTCTTGGAGGGACAGAGAGAGAAAGGAAGGGAAGAGTTTTGTTCTAAATGGTCAACCTATGAGGACAAAGAGAAATGGGAACTTTCATCATTCACAACCGGATTCGTCAGTCTACTCATTTCCTTTGATTAATAATTCGTTCCACGTCCCTGCCCCCCTCAACAAGTCCCCCTAATTTACACTCCTCCCGCCTCCTCCATTCCTCTCTAAGAAAAACCCTTTTTCTTTTTCCTCCTCGGCATCAAGATTTTGTGCTAGCTAGCAGCTTCGAGCAACATTTAGTTTTAACCACAATGGGTTTTGATGATGTTTGTAACACTGGCCTTGGTCTTGGTCTAGGCTGCCTTGTCAAGCAGGAACAGTTCTCGCAGTCCGATCATCAACAAAAGAAGAAGAAATTGTTCCTGAAACATGATCACTTTTTCCCATCTCTTACATTAGGTCCATCGGATGACATATACCAATCTGCTACAAAGATTGATGCCAGTAAAGCACATGGCGAATCCATAGATTTGCATCAACAAACCTCTTCTCTCAGTGCAGTATCTTCGTTTTCTAACTCTAGTGTTAAGAGGGAGAGGGATTTTGGTGGTGAAGAGGTAGAATTGGAGAGAGTATCTTCAAGGGTCAGTGATGAAGATGAAGAAGGGAGCCCCAGAAAGAAACTTAGGCTTAGCAAAGAGCAATCTGCCATTTTAGAAGACAGCTTCAAAGAACACAGCACTCTTAATCCTGTACACCATCTTTGTTTATCTTTATTCTATTTAGTGTTTATACAGGTATATCTGCATATACTCTTGAATATTTATATTAGTTTTATTCTCTTATTGGTATTGCTTCATTCTTGTGTTAACAGAAACAGAAGCAACTTTTAGCAGAACAGCTGAATCTAAGGCCACGGCAAGTGGAAGTATGGTTCCAAAATAGGAGAGCAAGGTATCCTTACTAACCATGTATATATATATATATATCTTGGTAATCATTGTTTTATCCTCTCATGAATGAGTGTTTTTCCCCTTACTTTGGATTCTCTTGTTCCTTGTTTTCAAATACAGGACAAAGCTGAAACAGACTGAAGTAGATTGTGAGTTACTGAAGAAATGTTGTGAGACGCTAACAGAAGAGAACAAGAGGCTGCAGAAGGAACTGCAAGAGCTTAAATCACTGAAACTAACAGCATCTTATTGTATGCAGCTGCCTGCAGCCACCCTCACCATGTGCCCTTCCTGTGAGAGGGTTGCCAGCGGGGGTGAAGGCCCTTCAACTAGCCCTTTTACAATTGGACAGAAATCTCACTTTTTCAATCCCTTCACTCACCCATCTGCAGCCTGCTAGGCAACTTGTTGAGGCCATAGAACAGTAGCTATTTTTGTTCAAGGCTTATGTGTCAAATATATATATATATATCTGTACGGAGTAATTGAATCTTAAAAGACTTATATCTATATATATTCCTTGTATAAATGAAATATTTGTACATTTTTAGCAGAAACTGAGAAGATATTGTTCTTCTCATCTGTTTGAAAATTTAATTTACTATCCTTACTGATTTTTATTTATTTAGTCAACTTAGGCCATATTGTAAGAGGCATAGAGAAATGGAGATTTATTTCCTTTTTAACAGAATAATGGGACTGTAAATTACGTATTTTCTTAAATGTTATACGTATTCTCTGTCTTTTTTTCTGTTCTTCCTTCTTCTGGATTGCTTTGCCATGTTATCTATTGAAACTCTGCAATTCCAGCTTTACAATTCCAGAGTTGGCCCATCGGTTACTCCATCTACTTTGAATTTTCCCCTCATTGGCTAAAGCTTACCTTCACTGTAGCTTTTAGTCAGGAAGAAATTCTCATTGGATGAGAAGGCAACTTAGTAGAAATTGCCTTAACTTGCTTAATGACCAAGAAAAAGAAACATAGAATCGCCTTTGCTCATAAAGTAATCATTTTTCCAGTGGTTTAGATTAAGAGAGAGAATTCGGATACAAATTTTTTTAATACAAGTGTGATTAGTATGGGATTACCAATCACAAGAATTAAAAAAACTAAGGAGTTTTATTTCGCAGACATGAGCTTAAAAAAGTAATTGATTTCACGAAGACTTTCATACAGATTAGACTAATCCTTCCCCTCAAAGTCTAATTTTCAGTCCGATAAGGTTCTTGAGTCCTGTCAGCTCACTGGCAGGACTGCAAGACTTGAAAAAGACGTCCAAATCTGGCGAACCAATTAAATCACGTACAGCTTTGGGATATGTATGGCGTGGTCCGCATGAACATCCATAATACATAAGATATAATTTTTTTATCCAGAAAAAAAAAACCCTTATCATAATGTCAAAGCCATATTAATCATGATTTTCATAACAATATACTCTAAAAAGTCGTTGAACTATTTCAAAAAAAAAATCTAAGTAAATTCCTTTCCATTTAGGGGTTAAAATAGCACTTCAAAAGCTTAATTCAAGGATAAAAGAAGTCATAATTATTTAGATTTTTTTCAGAAGAGTTGAGGAATTTTTTAGCGTATGGTTAGCCTACATATATTGCATATAGATTAGAAGATAAGACTAACGTTTTGTGAAAGTTCTAACATTAAATGATGCACGAATAAGAGGAAAGAGAGATAGAAAGCAACATTTAAACTAAAATAATTAAGTTATGAAAATGATTAGCGAGTCGATAATCATGTGCTTGATAATTGATGATATGAAAATTTTGACTTTGGCTTCTTGGGTTGTCTTCAAATGGTTAGTGTCAACATTCATTAATTTGCTCTTTCCATTTCACAAACAGACTTTTGCTTAAATGGGTTTTCAAGCTTATCTCCATATCCTTGAATCTCTGCCAGTGGGATCCTGTTGGACAAGATGGTGGATATGGTGGTGAATTATCATCATGATAAAATTATTTTTCTTACAGTTTTCTTACTGGATGATGATCAAGTTGGGGGGTTTTGGAGCTTTTCATGGTTGCTGACATGTTCTTTAATTTTTTCAATTTGCTAATTTACTAAAACGAAGACAGACAAAATGCTTTGAAATTTGCTTACACATACTTAGCGATGTTTCTTTTTTCTTATGTACATATCATCGTCAATTGACTTTTCAATATTAATGATCTCTATTCAATAAATTATATGAGAGTATAGGCGTTTCGATTTTAATTTGTATTTTCTTTTAATAGTATTAAGAAAGTGTTAAGTGTTTTAAAAAAAGTTATTACTTTCGAACATTTTAAAAACAAAAGTATTTTTACTGTAAATAAAACATGCACATTTGTACGTTTTTTAAAATTTTTTTATTTACTCAATATGAGATTTTTCTTTTTTTTTTTTTAAACATTAGGCTTGACCGTCTCTCATCTCTAATTCGGCTAGCCTTCGTTGTTATCGACTACCTTACCTTTGTACCTTCCCTACAGCCAAGGGCAAACCCAAGTGAATATAAGAAGTGTCAAATGACACCACTAAAATGTCAAAAATTCCCATTAATTATATTGCTTATATTAGAATTTTATGTGATTAATAATGCTAATGAACTCGTTAATTATTATTATATTAATTATGACATTACATAAAAAATTCTTAATTCGCCCCTATCTAGAGTTGAAGATCTATTAAGGTACCATTTTACCATTAGATTATTATTTTCTTCTCAAAATTTTAACATGATGAAGTGTCTATATTTATAAAGTTTTTAGGATCCTCTTACTTATTTGATGTGCGGATTAACGCACTTTATCTAATTCTTTTGAAATGTTTAGCGTGGTACATAACATTAATTATCAATTTTGATGATATATACATTACCAATATTAAAATCATTTTTAAAAAATAACATCGGTAACAAATTTTGGTGAAATACAAAATAAGTCTTCCCTATTATTTTCATTCTCCTTCTTCGGGGAGATTAAAATTAAAAATAATAAAATTTATAAATCAATATTATTGCATCCTTACTATAAACAAACCCCAAAAAAAGGAAGGCAAATGTAAAGGTGGAAAATTAACGTAGGCGTGAGCCATGAGGCTTTCAAATTTAGCGGTGGATAAGCATCCAAAACCATTTGAAATTCTTTCAATAATGTGATCATTTAAGGCATGGAATGTTCTCACACTTTTTGCAATTAGCCTTATTATGGAGTGTGAAACACATGCAGGCAATGACGCAATTCAATTCAATAAACAAGTAAATAAATAAATAAATAAAATTCCATTAAATAATCGAGAATATTATAAAAATGCTTCTTGCAATCGCGAAACTTTATGCATTATCTTGCATGCTTGGTTGACATGAAAAATGATGAGGCATATCAAGGATGATGTGAGATATATATATATATATATTATTAATTTGTTCATCCTTTTAGTATTTTTTTTATTTAAATAAAAGTTAGCACTACTTTTCAAAGACACCACCAGAAAGCAATAATTGAATTTATAAAAAGAAAGTTCCCTCAATTTGCAAAAGCTTCTCGTCCTCACTTGAGTGAGAATGTGTGACTTGTAAGACTCGAATGCTATCGATAGGCTTTCATGGACCGCGATAGAGAAGCTCAAAGTGGGCTAGCTTGGGTTGAGCAATGAACCCAAACCCAGTTCTGACGGGCCTTGGATCATTGTTCAATACGCTTTAGGTGGGGTTCTCTCGAAAGAAAGAAAGAAGCGCCATGGTCCTGGAAGGATACATGAATCTTCGTTAATCCCTTCCATGAACGTTTCTTTATAAAAACCTAATGGATGCATTGGGAATTCTTAGTCTTTTATTGACCCTTTGCTGTTTCGATTAGTTTGTTTATATTTTTGTAGAAAGATAGAAAGAAGAAAGGAAGGAAGGAAGAACTAAAGCCACTGATTGGTTATATATGCTTGTTAACTTGATTTCGAATTATGAAACCTGAAGCTTACTTATACACGAAATTTTACATGCATATACATGCGTAAACATGCACGTGCATACTACTCAGGCTCCGCTCTCAACTAACTTTTACCGGTTAATAAAAATCAAGTTGGGTAACTTACAAACATGAATCCATCTGATTCAGCAACTGAGAAGTAGCTTCATTCACTTGAACTCCCGGTCCAAAGATCAAACTCTTCCCAATTTTCTCGTTGTCTGCCACATGCCCTTCTACACCCCCTCCTGTCAGGCGGATGGCATATCAGAGAAGCCACTCAATGCCTTTGTTAGCGGTTTATGGTATCGGTATCTCAAGCTGTTCCGCTAGTGTAGTCGTCGTTTAGATTCACCCTTTTTAAAGTTTGCGTCCTTTCTTTAATCCTTCTACGTACATAAGAGGGCATTGTATAAATTAGATGCAGTTGGCCTGAACTGCACTGCCAGCGAACCAGTCAAACCATATCCTTTAGAAACAATTATCATCATATATGCTTAACCAGTTCCAGAGACGCGTGGAAAACTGCCATGACCACAAATTCACAATCATATTAAATCATACACTAAGAAACAGATGATATTACTGCCAGCAGTCTGAGCACCAAAGGGAGAAGGATCAACTATATCGTAGGCAACTGCCATTGCTAAAACTCCTCCCGCGAGATATGGAAGAAAGTTTAAGTAAAAATTTTGTTCCAAAATGCTCACTGTAAAACCAATTTGAATAGGGAAAACGAGGTAAAAAAGTATATAGACACTTGCATTTGCAGAAGTTTATAACCGTCCATCAAGACAAATTCCAAGATATCAATATGAGGGAAAGAATATGCTAGCATTTGGATGATTCAAGATGGCCAGGCTTCATGAGCTGAAAAGAGAAGTTCTCAAAGTATTAAAACTCCATCAAGCCCGTACTTACTTTCTCATTTTATACACTTAACAGGTAGCACTGCCCCATACAGACGTGAACTTTAGATTACATGATTACATCTGTCTTGCAGCAGTAGCTCCTTAAATACTTTTCACTTTCAGACAGCAATGAAGTTACAAAATGCAACAACATGCCTTCTGACATAAGACACAAACGCATACATCCCAAATCTGTGCAAATGGTACAATCACAAACTATTAAAATCCCATCCTCAATGATCACCACAATGTGTACACATGCATAAAATTATAAGAAGGGATGTTTGTTATTCAAAGATACTAGATTACGTTGTAGGGCATTGCTGATTTCTATCAAATGAAAGAAAACAAGGGAAGACTATAGATCTCATATACTTTGACTGCAATGTAACTAAACAAACACTCACAGATACAGGCAGAAGGTAATTTAATGCTGTATTGCACATTATCAAGGGCCCAAACGGTAAGGACCATCACCCATGTAGTGACCATCCATATAGAGAGCTGCATTCTGTGGATGGAGACCATCCATCACCATGAATTGCATGTCTTCAGAAGGTTTCCAGTGACGCTTCCTTTGATTTATGAACCAATTATTAATTTGTTTCTGGTCCAAACCAGTTGATTCAGCCAATGCCACCTTCTCCGTCTCCTGTGGGATCACCATTGGATTTTTAGCATGCCAAGATAAAAACTAGAATTCATGTGAAATTCAGTAGCATAACAATTTATAACAGGTAGAAGAAGACAAGAATTTAAGAGGATATATAGATACTTACTGAAGGGTATGGCCATTTGTAGTGTAACTCCCACCAACTAAGCAATTTCTGTCTAGCTTCTTTGGGTAGTTTCCCTTTCTTCTTTTTCTTGGAGAGTTCTTGCTTGAGACTGCTTAAGTAACCACTGTATTTCCTTAATAGGTGGTTCTTCAGTTCTCGATCTTCAGCACGTGGATCAATTTCAGGCAGTTCGGTTTCTCCACCACTATTGTCTTGATCCTCCTCAGAAGAACCAACACCCTCACACTTCTCATCTGTTTTTAATTTACAATAGAAAAGTTTTAAAAATAAGCACCTCACAAGAGAACCAAATACACAGTGCGGGAAATTTTCATAACAACAATATTCTCTGTCCAATTACAACTAATTTCACAAGCATCATCATCATCGGAGTCACAGAATCAGTGCAATTGATTACTGATATAGGATTGATGAAAGCACCCAAGAATTCAAATCAAAGAGGACAGTAAAATTTTCTTAAACAATAATAGGTAATAACTTACCTATATCAACTTGTCTTCATCCTTTTGAATTTGGTAAAGTCTAAAACTATTTCTCATAAATAAATTCAATCGGTAAACAGTTCATGGCTTCTTTTTTTTCATTTTCCTAGACCTTTTAGATAAGGGCAGTGATTAAATCAAACAGAAGTCCTAGCAAGATAGCAACTACAGAGATGACACGTGTAAATCAACAGTCGCTCAATTTGCACAAAAGTCAGGAGCCACCAACGGATAAGTCAGACAGACTGTAGGAGAGTGGAAAGAAGGAAAAGGAGAGTGAATGCATTGCCCATTCAATCTGGTTAAAGCTGATCAATTAAGATTGTAACTCACCAAACTTACAGTGAAGTTGTACAGTGTCCCAGACAGCTACAAGAGTAAACTTAATAATAGAACCATCTGATCATATTGCCAAAAAGAAGCGAGAGAGCAAGGTTCTGAGTAGTGTTAAAGAAAGAGCTAGATAATATCAAAATTAACCAACTTACAACTTTCTTCCTAGCCCATCTTTCTTAAGATGACAAGGGACTCTCACCATTTTAAGCATGGACAGACGCTCCCATTAGCATAGAGCAACGCAAACCAACAAAGATCTCATAAATTTAGCCCTCAAAAGGGAATGTCTTGAGTCAGAACTTGGGTCATCTGCATCATGAGGCGTCAATAGTGAAGGAAACCACTCAACCATTCCTCCCACCTTCGTCACTGCCTTATGGGTGGAACAACATCCTATTCTAATTGCATTAGTTGGAATAGACAACCATCATTCCATCTTTATTATGCTAGAACAAGGGAAAATCCAAGACTGGTTTAATAAGAATGCAGGAGAAGGTCCTATAGAAAAACCAAATTTACTAAAAATTATAAAAATAATATAATTAAGATAGCATTAATAGACTATTAAATATTCAAATTTTCAGTCATGACACATAAAGATCACAATTCACATCAAACTTCTGAATTTCTATAGAATGCATGCACGGAAATCAGTAAAATCATAAGAAAGTGGGATGCCAATTAATGATTAAAAAAGTTTAGCACGTCAATGCTCTTATCTTGAATCAACTTGAACTAATCAAGTTGATCAACACGAATTATTTATGCTGTTAAATAAGACTTGCAAAGATGAAAAAACATCTTTGCCCCTCAGATCACTGATGAATCACTTTATATAAATTTGATCAAAATGATACAAGCTTTAACACTATAATCAACAACCAAACTCAGATTGCAATAGCAAAGTGTGTCCAAGGCTCAAATCTATCATGCAAACACTAGGAAATTTTAGCAGTACTCTCCAATTCTTGGTGCATTCCAGGTTTTAATCTTATCAAGTTTTTCAACTAGTACTGAAGAGTCAACGATTTTTACTATACAAAATCTGGCAATAACAAACATGATTTCACAACATCAGCTTGATCCCAAAAGATTTGCAATTTTTCACAATAAAGATTAAGCAAGAAATATGCATTTGGAATGTATCACAGAAAAATGTTAAAATAACATAAATTACTACTAACAATCCAGAGAGAAAACAAGGCTATCCATCTAAATTCAGCACAAATTCATACGTCTTACTCAATTATCAAAAACTGCAAAGCATTTCATGGGCAATTGCCAATGCTTCTATAGACTATAATCATAGTTCATTAACAAAAATGTAGACACAAATTTACCATAAATGGAGATCTCTTGGGCACCATTCTGAGTGAGATTTACTCACCAAAATCAGTATCTTTGAAGCATTTTCTTCTATCTAATTTATAAGGTTAAATTTGAGTGAAATGCTACAATGGCTCGGGCATGCTTCCCCAGAATCCCCAGTACCCCTTCCCCCAATACAGAAACAAACGCTAAAAGGAAACTTCACTGATAATTAATAATCATTCCATTCTATGGTTTAGGCACCTTTAAAAAATTAGGAAAAACAAAAAAGAGATCACTCAACTGTGAGTGACACAACCAAAACAAATAAAGAAAACCTATAAAGAAATATAAATCCTGCCAACGCCGTACAGGCTACATGGGGTAGCACTGATTTGAACAGCATCCTATGTTTTCAAAATTTCCTAGCCTTTGTAAATATTTTCTTGGAAAATAAAAATACAACTTTTGATTTAAACGAAGAACAACTCGGGAACAGACGACAATAATGATCCATTAATCTCTCGAGGTATGCATTTATGTACAAAATCCCACAGAATCAGATTTAGCAGACAAACTAAATAGAATAGAGTATCCAGACTTTGGGAAGGAAAAAACAAAACCCTAAAATAGGGAATGGTTCTGTCAGAGATCTCATTTAGTTGAATATAAAAGCGAAGACAACCCATTAGAGAAAGCCAACGTGTGGTTTCATCATTAGTGTGTATATATATAGCCAGCAATAGCAGAGACCAAGTGCGTTTTGTCTTTGTTCTTTTTCAAGTGTAGATTTCTTAAGCCATTGCAATCAATTTAGTATAGACTCATGATTAGCTAGGGTTTTGCAAAGCTAAATGAATACATAGGGTAGCGGTTTTCTTCACTGTTGGGTCTTCTTCTCCGTTTTCCTTCTCTCAATGGATCCAATTTTTGTGGGGTTTTTCTTCTTCATTATTGGAAGGAGTGATATGGGTCAAAGTTATCCTTTTTCTTCACTGGGAAAGACGAGCAATGGCAAATGAATGAATGAGAGAGAAGCAGGCTCAGGTCTACAATTTCCAAAGGAAGCTTAGCAAAATTAGACTATCAGTTTTTTTGGTGACGGTATAAAACAAGGCACAGTTAATACCAATCTCTGCAACGATACAAAATTTTTGATCTATTCTTCTGATTCTTTTTCCATGCTAGGCGCATTAGGCAAAGGAAAAGCAAAGCCTCATCATCTTCGTGAAGTGTGTGAATATATACAGAAGCGTGCGGGAAGGGAAAGCGAAGAGATAAAAACATACCAGAGTTGAAGATCCGCACGGGACCATTGCTGAGCATATTCAGTTGAGCTTCGATTCTCCGCATGAAATCCAATGCTTCTTGTATTGGCCTCGTTAGTTCCTCGCGATATTTCACTAACATGTCATAGTAAGCTTCCTGGGTTGTGGATCCACAATTTTTTAAGTCAGAAAAAAAGTACTAAAAAACAAGGATTTGCCAATAAGTCATAAAACCAAAAAGTAATCAAAAGCCAAAGAAGAAGGTTCGTGGGAAACAAAAAGGACCAAGGTTTGAGTAGGGTAAAGAGAAACAAAATCACCATAAACTGATCGAGTTCCGGGTCTTTAGAGTTGTCTCTTGATGTCACCGATGATCGCTGCCTTGCCTCAAACTCTTGTCGAGCAGCTGCTAGCCGGGCTGCTACTTCAGGCGGGGCTCCTACCTATATGACAATAGTATAAAGAACCGATGAGTTAATCGAATACTCTCGAGTTTGAAAGCAAGTTTTGTGTTCACCGAATATACTTTTCAGGTTGACTAAGTCTTACCTTTTGGCAATCCATGTAAGCTTCCAACAGGTTAGAGTACTGAGGATGAGCAATGATCTTGGCTTTAATAGCTTCTACTTCAGTACTGGAGCTTTCGTTCCCTTCTTGCTGGTGATGAATTGCTTGATGCCCTCTCAATAAAGGGTAGTGAAATTTTTGGCCATGTTGCGAGGTGCTTGCTTCAGTTTTCACAATTGGGTGTGCCTCGGATTGGTAGCACTCGCTCGATTGAAGATGAAAGGAGGTTAGAGGCATCTGGGCCTGCTGATTACTGACGTTAGAGCCGCTACTTGCTCTCCCGTATGGAGAAGAATTTGGTGCAAGAACTGGAGATGCGTACAAGAAATTTCCCCTTGGAGTATTATTCTCGTTTAGCTGATTATATTCTTCCATTTTTCCTTGTTGTGAATTTTCGACAGACCCAGGTGAGCTTAAACAAGCCAAAAAATTCTCTCTCTTGCTGGAAATTGAAGCCAAGACAAAGAAAACGTAAAACCCTAAAGAAAGAAGTAAGTATAAAGGAATAGAAATCCTAAAGAGGATAGCTAGAGACCCTACTCATCTAACTGCAAGAAGCTTTTCCATTTTCATATCAAATCGAGTAGACTTGAACTTTGTATTAATAGGGAATATTGAAATTCTTTGCAGTTTTATGTCACGGAGGCCTTGAAGTGAAATTGCACCACGAGTTGCTCATGCTAAAGAGAAGATCAAAAAGGATAGCCAAAAGAAATCATAAAAACAAGAGATAAACTGAGAAATTTGAGGTGATCTGACAAGGGTTGAAGGGAGGAGGAGAGAAAGGTTAAGCTCAAGCCGGAACCGCCCAGCGACTGCGCGGCTTTGGGTGGTTGACAAGACGTTCTTTTCTTGAAAGAAAAAGAAATATTTGAAAATTAATAAAGGCAAAGAAAGAAGACCAAGAGATAAGGCAATTGGATTTGTAGATTTTTTCTCCCTTTCTTTTCCTTTGCCCTCCTTTCTCCCCCCCTCTCTCTCTCTTCTTTATATTTATTATTGCACTTGCTCTCACGGACGTACCAAAATTCACTCTATTCTAGTTGCTTTTTGGGTTTTCTCCTTTGACATCCTTCCCTCCCTTTGCTTGTTTTTATACTGAGATGAATGCGGGGAAAACTATTCACTCAATTAAGTATTCATCAATGTCTAAAAAGTTTTATAGTAATGAATTTTTTACTTAAAGAAACAAGTTACATCAATCAGATTAGAGGTCTTCTGTTTTCTCTTTACAATCAAAACTTTTTTTAATCCGTTGATTTGTATACTAAGTAATATAATTAGTAATAATAATTTAATTTGGATGTGATCATTGTAGATAGAATTTATGGTCAAAATCTGCCTAAATATAGCCTCTGCACGTATAATAATAGTAAGAATTTTGTAAAAGCTCCCTCAATAGATTTGAATTCAATTATATTAATAAAATCGAATCCATGACTCTCTCTATCCAACCACACCCCAGCAAACTAAAACCAATTTCATCACCTTCCCTGTGTGGGTCTTTCGTCTTGTTCTTTTTTTTTTTTTAATAAATTTGATGAATTATTTTCTACCGTTAAAAATTTGTAAAAAAAAAAATGAAAAGATATTGTTAAATAGATAGATTCTTTCTATGACAATTCCATGAAGTTTATCTACAATTGTCACTTAAACTTTAATCATTTCGGCATGGAATTGTTCTTTTGTCATCAAGTCTTTTTTTTTTTTTTATATTCGTTTTGAGGTGAAGGTGCCAAGTTGGGAAGAGCGAGAGACTCTGAAGGACTGAACCTCTCCACTCTAAATTCAAGTCCCAGAGTGTGAATTCAGTTCAATTTCATATTGTAAATTTAGTCGTCCAATATTTTGTTATTACAACAAGATTGGATTAAAGTACTATTGTGCACTCAAAATTTATTTAATGCAATAGTGAGGAGTTATGACAGGTAAAAAGAAACATTAAATGCTGTACTAATATAATATTCAATGCCTTGCAGGCATTTTCTTGGAAAGAGGGGATACCATATAGCAACTCAAAAAAAAATATAAATATAAATAAATTAAAATGATAAATTTCACATAGATCTTATATGGTAAGATATTTTTTCACATAACATTTTAAAGTTTTTTATTTCAAATACCGTAAGAGTTAATAGGATTAAATTTTCATTAAAAAATAATAACACCCTTATATTTATTTTTTTTATTTTAAAATTTTTTTTATTTAATCTTAAATCTTGTTCACACACTTGAGATTAGAAAATATACCATTCAATAATTAAAATCAGTGTCTATCTCTCTTTGAGAAAATGTATATTTTAAGCAGTTAATTTAAAAACTTTTGCATTATAATAGTTACATCAATTGGGTATTTGGCAACATCCATGCAAATGGGATTCACTTTGCTCAAGATAACTTCAACAATAATTTAGATAAACTTTGATTCACGCCTATATCAAAACAATTCAACTATAAATAAAAAGAACATTCAAAATTAAGGAAATTGACTATTTATTTTGAAAAAAAAAAACTATAAACTTAAATTAAGACAACCTAAACACGTAGCAGAAGGCATAATGTGCTCCAGCCAACAAAAGCCCAACATGAAACCAAGAAATTTAAATTTAATGCATGGAATAAGACTAATAATTAAAGCTAATGTTGGTAGTAATAGATGGTTAGGAGAAACAATTGCGTATGTTTTTGTATAGAGGGCAGAATTATTGTATGACAAGTGGTGCTGATAGGATTTTGGATTTTGTTAGGACGTTTTTGTTTCTGTGTCTGCTGGGTTGTGTTTTAGCATAGGCAGAGCGTCTTAGTAATCATTGGCCCAGACCGTCAATAGCTTTTTAATGGTTAAAATATAATTTGCAATTGTACAGGTTTCTATTACCCCGAAGCTAGAATTCGGTTTGTCACCAGACTCTCCAATTACTCGAGCTGAAGATTCGTAATTGTTGAGATTTGACTTCATATTAAAATATAAAAATAATCAAAAAATTAAAATATAATGTAAAAGAAAAATCAATTAATACTTAATTTAAAAAATAAAATCTTATAAAATCAATATCTGTTTTTTTATATAATATTTAAATTAATTATAAACATTCATAATTTAAAAATTACATATTTCGTTCTAAATATCATAATTAAAAGTTAATTAAATTTAAAATCGCTTACAATGAAGCAAATAACTCGAAAAGAAAATAAGACAATTTAAAATTTTGCAATCAAAATTTTTACTTCTTCACTTTTAGTATTTGTCAAATCTTCAATTACTCAACTGTTTAATCTGTAACAATAATCATACAGTAACCAAATAAGATCTTTTCAAATGTAGGATTTGTACTATCAAGTTTTATTTTCAAAACAAAATGATCAAAAATTATTTCCAAATCTTATTTCTGTCAAGTAAATAAAACTATTTTTCTTTTCTTACTTTTATGAAAAAAGTTAAGAAATGGTTAAAAGTTTAGAATTTTAATTTGTTAACATAACATATTTTTATAACTAAACTAAGTTATAATCCTAAACACAACAGTTGTATTTTAATTCAACTATGTTCTTATGAACTTAATTAATTTCGAACTTTATTTTGATCTATTCCAATTAAGTTGAACTTAATTTATTATCCTTCTTTAATCTCAATCATGTCACTTAATGTATGTGACTTATTAGGCTTTTAACATGTTGACGACAAATATAAATTCTAATCAAATATCAATTTGATAATTAAGTTATATTTATAGATCACTAACAGCATCTAGCAATATATCATGATCACCTAAATATTAAAAAGTCAATTAAAGAATTTGACAACACCTTTCAATGATAAACCTCTCAATGCAATACGACGCTTTCATCAAATGTCCCGGATATGTCATAAAGCATGGCTTAGTGTCTAGTTATAACATTTTATATTAGTTCTTATAATTCATGACTAACCTTATGAATTGAAGAAACTAACTTTTTTCAAATTCATCATGTTTTGTCTAAAGATTTTATACGAGTTAAATAAGAATTGAAAATAAGTAAGATATATTCCCTCAAATCACTACAGTGATGAATCTTTTCTTAACTACTCATTCACCTTCGCATGTTTCATGACATATCTAAAAATATCATATTTAAATATCTAGTCTCATCTAAACTCATAAAGGTAAAGTCAAAGTATGTCATTCTCCATACAAGATGATTTAGTGTCTTAAGTCTAAGGATTAGTTGTACGACTATCATATGATAACGTATTTCATAGACACTTGAGTGAAACACCAAATAGAGTTCTTATAGCAACTCATGTTCAATGAACTTGTTCTTTAACAAGCACCCACAAGTTATACTTAAGTATTCTATATACTTCAATCTATGAGATCGATTACTTACTTTTTAAGTAAAAAGGCTTAAAATGTATCAGTTTTTGAGCATTGTCAGTACATTACCTTGACAGTACAATGACTAGGAATAATTTTAATAACAGGGCTCTGGTTCACAATGATCTTGTAACAATTTTACAATTCTGTTACAATACCTTAAATGTTCAATGACTTTTGTTCAATTAGTACTTAATAACTCCTCATTATTACACTAACATAAAAGAAAACCTCTATTACATATATTTATACTATTAAGTATGTATTAAATAATAATATATGTTTTTTAACCAATTCAATTTGCTCAAAGGAATATACCAACAGTAACGACATGCTAAACATGGGGCTTTAATGGAAAAAAGCCTTTTCAAAAAAAATAATAGTTTTTCTTTTCAAAAGCAACCTTAATGTATGTCAATATAATTGATCAACTTTTTAGCCGTTTATCTAATTTATTTTAGTAAAATATAATTTAATTATATACTTTTTTTACAACAAAAATATAAATATGAGAAAGTTAAAAAAATTAAGTTATTAGCGAGAAACAAATAATAAAAACAAGACTTATTAGCAAAATTGGTAGCTAGATATATTTTATCATTCTTTTGTTATGTTATAAGAATTGGTGTGATGACTAATATGTTTCTAAAATCATTAATTTAATTATAATACAAATGTCAACATTTTAAAATTAAGTAGGTTCGATCCTCTTTTTATCCCTTTGAAGAAAAATTTAGAAATATAAGACTCAAATGCAATAAATAAGGCTTTTAAATATAAAGGTCTTATTACCATTTTAGTGAAAAGTTAATTAAAAATTTAACATTGTTACTTGGGAATAATACTAAAACATAAGGTTTTATTTGAAAAAAAAATTATGTGAAAAATATCAAATCAGAAAAGATTTATGTGAAATTTGCCCTAAATTAAACTGCTAAGCTAGTAAGGAAGAACAAGTGAACCCATTTTCAATTGTAAGAAATTAAGTGCTACTAAATACTTTTAATTACTAATTTATAACCAAATTTCTTTGTTGATAAAATAATGTGTTTGCAGCATATACCCAAAAAAAAATTGTTTAATCATTTAGATTATCTTGTAAAGTTTTAGCAAAAGGTGACAATCAAAATGGGGAAAATTCAATTAGAATCAAAGAAGAAAATTCACAATACAAATTATTGTTTTTTCTTCGTTTGCTTTTCCTTGTTTTTTTAGGATTGGAGTTGAACACGACCTAATGACAATGAAATTCATCTTAATCACTATTTTTTCTAGAGAAGCCCTTGCTACATTTAATGTCTTAAAAGTCAATGAGATTATTTGTCCAAACTTATCTATCGCATACACTGATATTTTCTGAGGGTTCCCATGTAGAAATTGGAAGCGAGTTATATCATAAAATGTTCGAATCTTCTACAATCAACTTGAGATTCTTGTCCTAGACCGTTTTCTTTTCTTTTTTTTTTTTCAATACCATATCCATTGGCGTCATGAGGAGGTTTTTAATAAAATCGATTAACTTCTTTTTAATAATAAAAATCAACTGATTTTTTTTATAAATTTACTGTTGATCACACCTCGTAATACCATTAATCAAGATATACAAATAGCATATGATTAAGGTGTTTTTTTTTTAATTTGTCTTCAAATTGATATTTGATGAACCAATGGGTAAAGATCATTCTAACCATCG